TCCGAAAGATCCTTAACTACGATAAAATTAGCCATGAAGTCGGTACGAGGGGGGTGTCGACAACAAGTGGAGGAGGACATCGTGTAGGCACGTTCCTAAAAACAGTCCGATTGCCACGGAAACGACCGAAAAAGATCGTCGAGGACGACGACGATGATTTCCATGTCTGCATTGGTCTCGTCCTCCTTGATACGCATTCCACCGGTTCTTGTCTATCGCAAGAAGAAATACCTCTGGAACGCAAGGGCTGCCGGCGGCCATGTTTGTGGCAACGTCGGCGCCGGTTTCCCGAATCCCCGAAACACCCTATTGATTGCTCCACGAGTCTCGCAGAACCGAGCTGGTACACCGGTCACCTCCCGCACGGTACACCTCCTGTTCCTCCCTCTCTCCCTCTTCGATGTTCTCCTCTTCGTCTATCTCTCTGTCCATCTCTGTTCCACTATTCCGCCCTCTTCTCTCCTCCCACGGCTGTTCCTCTACTCTGTCCCTGTCTCTCTCTCTTTTCTCCATCTACCTTCACGGGCAGCATTAGGAATGGCGAACACGCCGCCGTGCAGAGGCTACGTGAGCCGCATGCGACCACCCCCGCCCCCAACCACCCATCCTTCCCTCGTCTATGTCATGCTTGGTGCCAGCCAGTATGGCCGCCAACTCATACAACCTTCTCCTCTTTTCCTCCCTTGACCTCCCTCTCTAACTCCCTTTCTCTCTCTCTTTCTCGTCCTTATTCCACCTCCTCCTCTTTCCCCAGCCTAGCTAGCTCGTCTCTCCTCGCTTCTTTTCCCTTCCTCTACTCTTCTTTTCGCCGTTCGCCTACCGCGGCTACCACCTCCGCCTTCGTCTCTACACCCTTCTTTTCTCTTCATCGAACTTCTCCTTTTTCCACGGGGCTCTCCGTGTTCCCTTACTACGCTGCTATCTTTGCCCTTCCGGCTCGCGCATACGTGCCAGCCTCACGTGCATGCTTGTGTCTTATATGTCTTCCGCTTCATTTCACCCTCCTCCGCCTCAACGTCTAGCTTCACCCTGGCGGCCACCTCCTAGTCGAGGTTCCATCAACATCCCCGCGAACGAGTCACGCTTACAACGACGATTCGTAAAGGCGAACGTATAGCAAGCTGCAACACACTCACCTGTGAGAGTCCAAGGTAAATTGAGACGGTCTCGGATATGTACAGGAACCGTCCATCAGCGGCGACCGCCATCGCGAACCCGTCCAGCGACTGAAACGGAAAATATGGGAGCAATCGTTCTTCAGACTGTTCCTCTTTCTCTATTTCTTTCGACTTTTTTCTTTTTTTTTTTTTAGTTGGGAAAAATGTAGCATCCTGGCGATCGTTTCAACTCGCCCCCCCCTTCTGCCCCACAGTCTGTTTCCGGGATGCTGAGCATGAATCTTCCGTTGGAAGTTTCTTTCTCAGAGGTTCTCGTAGTATTTTTCTAACGTTTAATCGGTATCGCGTGTATTTTCACGCAAGAATTATTTGTTTTGCGAGTAATAACGTTAAAGTGAAACACGGCGCAGAGAGAAAAAGGTTCTGCGAAGTTTTTGAAATCGTGCAAACAGAGAGTGAGGCCGTAGAGGTGATTAATAACGTGAATAACTCTTTTTACTAAAATTTCTTTACGATATTTATAAAGAAATCTCTGTCTGAAGATTCTTTATAAATTTCTCCAGAAAATGATAAAATCTCTTCGTAAATATTGTATTTCATTAAATTACATTTGAAAAAGAGGAGTAGTTTACTCGTTTTTACGATTTCAATTCATTTACGGATAGACTACGGTAACGAATTACGGTCTCACTGCTAGAAGGTTGAAGTTGAAACTGATCGTTCAAAATTTAAACGCGAAAATAATTTTTTTAAATTGTCTCCCTGGAACGTGTGTTTTCAGTGCAGCTGAAGATAAAATTGTTCACCTACCTGAAGTATATGGGTGCCCTGATGTACATCGAAGTGGTCCAACGCGACGGATGCTGATGACCTCACTCGATTCGCACCTGGAATCAGATACATCCCTATGATGCACGTGAATTCTGCATTATTAAACGCCACGATGAATGTGCATACTCTGTTCGAATAGTATACGGTTGAAACGGATCGTTCGTTATTACGTTCTTTCATCGGTTAAATTTAGACGCTTTCGTAAAGAATATGAGGGATACATAGTTATCGTAGAGCGATATGTGTGTTAAAGGTGAATTTGTATTCACCGTCTAGCGTGAAACTGCATATTGCCGTGCATATCGCGAACGATGAATAGTAATGAACAAACGGAACTCAATAAATCAAAATTCCATCGAGGTTCCTTTGGATCACTCGCTTCTAGCTTAAATCTCATTCTAAGAGAGTTGCTTCGATCCAATCAACGATTAACCCCGTCGTCGATGATACTTCCGTAGAAAATTTATACAAGTCTGTTTTCTATTTGAAAATATTACAGTAGAAATTTCTATTCAATTCTAAACAAGTTCCAATCTTTTTCTTTTACAATATTCCGTATTACTCAAGTGAGTTAATTTCTTTTGGAAAAATTCACCCTCTTAACCCTTTCGCTAGATTTTAATGCGTGACGTACTAAGTACGTAAGTACTTAAAAGATACAATTAAAGATTAAATTACACTAGATGTGCACCAAAAGACGCGAACTGTAGAGTGAGTAAATTTTCAAAGCGGCAGTAGTAACGAAAGGGTTAACTCACTCGAGTACTCGAACAAAAATCGACCTCAATTACTATAAATAAGACATTAAAAAAAAAAAAAGAAGAGTGATTCAGTAACGAAAAGGGTTAACAGACAAAATCATTGGGTATTTCCCCAAGATATCCCTCGCCGAAGAATCCCAAGCGGTAAGCCGCACGAAAGAGTTAATAAAGACGTTTGCTTCAGTCGAATTGATTGACGTCCAGCGACGATCATAGGCTACCTCCAGTTTATTCTGACCATTGTGACTCACTCTGGAAGTCTCCCCCCCATTCGAAGATAGCCTCAGAGCCATGTGACCCCTTTGTGTCTTCTTTTCTCCCCTCGTTTAACAAACAAGACGTTCCTGCTTCTTGCCTCGTAATAATAAACCCACCCACACTGTTCTCTATGGGCAGTAATGAAAGACTTAGAAGACTCGATCAAACTCGACGAAGAACCGCTTAATCTGGTAAGCCCTATGGACCAAGAACGAGTCGAAGTGGGCCCTGGCTAACTGGTCGGATTGATCAGCCTCTGGCTTTCCGCTATTTTCGGTCAACAAGTTCGTTCTGATATTCCGCTGCCGAATAATCCAGCCCAGGACTTTCGCCTGTCCGACGAAAGCGTTTCCTTCAGCGACCACGCGTCCAGTCTCGTTTCGTTTCGACTACGATTCGTGAATACCGATTAAACTTTTACCAATGGACGTCTCTATCGCTTTGCCTCGATTCGGACACTGTTCGTTTACGTGGAAATGTGGAATTTTTAGGTTCTCGAGAGAGAAATGGGAATGGTTTGACGAGGAATAGGTGGATCGTTGCGAATAAATTTCGATGTGCGACGAAAAGTCGTGTTTGGTGTGTATTTCTGTGCGGAGATGGAGGATGAGATTGGGTAGTTGTGGAACAGGTGGATAAATTTTGGAGAAGAAGAAATTGAAGATTGCAGAAAATTTATATTTTGCTGATAAGATTTTTTTCAGATTACTCGTTTCAGAAAACAGAGTGTTGGAACAGAGAGTTCTGCGAGAAACGCGGTGTATGATTTTTTCATATAATATTGAACTAAGTAATGTTTACGTGGAAAATTAATTTTCGTCAGGATCAAGTTACCTGGCCCCCGCAATATTTTGATAAATGTCTAAGGGGACGTTTTGCTCGATTATCCGGCACCATGGCTCGCAGATATTTCCTTGGGGATGATGGAAAAATATCCGTGCTCTCGGCGTGATCAATTTAGCGAAGATCAACCGCGGTAATGCGTTATTTTTTCGCGGCGACGAGTGTTGAACGAACGATGTGCCTGATCGACTTCTGTTATCTCACGAAACTCGGTTCAAGTGTCGAGAAATCATAAAATAAACGAACTTAAATGCACCTTTGCAGTAAAATTTAACGAAAGACAATTGGGAACACGATTATTCCATGAAAATTGATAAGAATTTATATTTATCTGGTGTGCGAGGACAGAAAATACGAGGAAGTTCTATTGAAACAGTCTCGAATAGATAAGAAACATAAAAAATCAATTTAAAACTGCATCAGCAATTGTGTGCCATCCAAAGACTCTAAAACGCACTCTGTTTGGAATGCATTCCGCTGATTCGGATTGCTTTGCCAACTTCTGCGAGCGTTTAGTAGAAACGATGGACCCGTTTCAACTTAGTAAGTGAAATTACCGGCTGCAGGTTCTCCTTTGTTCCTCTGCTATTGTTTTCAAATGGGAAAAGCTATTGAATCTCAGTTTAGAAAAGTGCTAAAGAATGACACTCTTCTGGAAAAAATTAACCGTACCGTTTCACGCAAGAATCGGTCATTTCCAACAATAAACACGTTTCTGAACATAGGATTTTAGCATCGATGAATGTAGAATTTTACTGTTTATCGCACTAAACGATAGAAGTCCTCTCTTATCAATAGAATACGTTCTAATTGCAAAATAGCGAAAAATGGTGATGACCAGTTTTTCTCAAATATCAGCTTCCAAGAAAATCTTTATCACCCAAGGCAAAACTTAAACAAAAAATCCTCCACACCTTCCAAACTCGGTAATCTCCAAATCCTCCGTCAACTCTTCAAAATCATCCTCGACCACCCCGAGTAGCCTCAACCCTAATCACTGTACTCATCAACCTTTCTCTCTCTCCAAGTGAAACGAGAAAAGGGTGCACCAAACGTTCCTATCGAAGAGAGTCAAAGAGAAAAAGCAGGTCGGTCGTTGCATGTACGGTAAGAGGACGACGGGGAAGGCGGCGGATAAAGAAAATAAATCAACCGACGTGTCTGGAAATCTTTAACGCATTTTACTTCGTTAAGTCGAGAGGTCTTTCTCGTTCCAGTTGTGCCAGTGACATGCGGCGAGGGGTGAAGCCGGCCGCGGTGGATTTAGTTTGACGAGGAGCTGCGGCAGCGATGTGCGGACGGTGCCTAACTCAATTTCGTTAGTTTAGTTACATTGGCGGTTGGTAACGCGAGGCCCACGCAGGGGTTGCCGTGATTAGATTTCCATGTAGGTAGTGGTGCAGCCACCTAAGCCTTTATGTGTTACCGCTTTATATGTACGCTCAGACAGACTCTCTGTCTCGAGTCCCCTCTCTCACGTCTCCACCCTCCGTCTTCACCGCCACGACAAATATTAACTCAACCAGCCCATCCCTGCGCGATTCGACGAAAGTAGCGACGATGAATAAGTGAATTCACTCAACCACCGACTACCACCCGTCTTATTTTTCGTTGTTCCGCCGCCTCGTTGCCGCGCGGATTCCTCCGGGTCGGTGAAATCTTCGAGAGGAGAACGAGAGTCGCGCGTAACGAGATTGTCGGAGATTTTTCAGAAGTGTATACTTGAGGGAGCAGTTTTTCGAAAATTTAGGGGAAATGTGGGGTATCCTTGGAACTTCGGATTTGCTATCCTGAATTTTTTCGATATTCAACGCTGTCTATAATGCAATCTGAGAAAATTACGGAGCTGCCGCCTTTTTGCGGTAAATTCTTCTGATAACGATTGAACAGAAAATTATGGAAGAAAAATTGGCGATAGATGGTCTCAAATTTTGACTCTTATTTTATAAATACAATTAATTTGTCAATCTTTAAAATATTAAATAAATAGGTTGAAAAGTGTTCTTCGCAATTTTTCGTTCTTCGACGAACGACGGTGCTTTAACATTTTCAGTGTCTCTTGAATGGAGGCGAGGCGACGTCCAAGCCCTCCGATTTTCGTTAAATGAACCACGAAAATGAAGAAAGCCAATGGCGATGGTATCGCTCGATTATAGCCGACAATTCTCTATTACTATGTATCTGTGAATCTCGCGCAGGCTGCGTGGTCACTCTCCAGTTATAAAGGATATCGCGAGGCTCGATCTATTGCCGGATTGCTTACGCGAATTCTTAAGAACGCCGTTCGACGACCTTTGTCCGGTTAATTCGATACCGGTGTACCGTGAATTTCCATCGGAATTCAACCCTCATGCCACCCTAAACTCCTTTATCACGATCAACTAACTACACCGGCAGCCTGCGACTTTGTTGCAATTCATTTGCGACGCTGCTGAGATTACTCTCCTGTTTTTCTGATTAGAGATTGTCGCATTCGAGAAAATGTCCCTTTGTTTTTCTCGTTGAACGCGTTCTGCGACTGTACTGTTCATTCGGTGAGTTATTTTCGAATGACTCAAGGGGTGAAGTTTTCGTGGAGAAATCTATTTTATTTGATCTCAGTAGTACGATTTTGAAAGTCAACGAGGAATTCTTAATGAAAGATAAATTAGAGAAAGTAAAACTCGAGAATTTCTGTTCCCATCTATTTGAAACCAAATGAATTTCGTTTAATTCTGGAGAGAAGAGTGTTCATTTTTCCAAGACAAATCTAAAATGAGAAATTTTACTGTTTCGTTTTATCTCGGTATATCTATACTTTTTAAATAATCAATGCATGACAGATTGCTTTCGCAACGAGCAACGCTTTCACCGCTCTTTTCGCGCGACAGCACGCTCGTCGATCTTCAACAGTGAATCGAGTCCCCTATCGGGGTTAAATACTGATCCATCAGCAGATATCACCGGCAGATACACTTTCTAATAAGCGGGGGTTCCAATCATCTGTGTTGTTTCCACGTTGTAGCTACGTTAGAAGAGGGATCTGTGGACTCAAGAATCCATCGAGGGTTGAGAAAATATCTTTTCTTTTTTTCAGGGACAACGACCGCGTTCTTCCTGCTCGCTGAACAGTCGATAATATTTAATTAAACGCTGGATCGGTGACGTGAATTCTGAATCCTTTATCGCTGTGTCATAAATATGTATCTCTCTTAACGTCTGCCTCAACGGTTTCCTATTTTATTCTTTTTCTACTCATAATCGTTTCAATGCTACACATTTTTCTCAAATAAAATATTTCCATAGAGAACAAAATCCCATTTTTATTTCTTAATTAAACTCAATTCTCTGATGTTTCTTCTAAACGAAGAAAAATCGGGTTACAAAGTGTTAACCTGAATATCTCACAACAGTATCTTCAGTTGTATTCGGGAAATTTCAAGTTACACCAAAACCTCGAAAACTCTTTCAAAATTCATAATTGAAGCTGTCATTTCGGCGAAAGATATCTTCGAAGAACTTCTAACGAGTACGATTCTCTCTTTTTCCCTTTCGGTACGCCGAGATTACGGCGTTTCTAGGTTGCTAGAAACGGCCTCAATGGGTTAATAATGAGCTCCTTACCTTTGCCAGATTTATTTGGCGGTGGCCCATCCCGATTCCATGGCGGGTCTCCGTGACCCGAGAACTCCCGAAGTTTGAGGTACGAGATGGTTAGCCTTATTATAGAGGCTTTGTCCAACTGGGAGGTAATAGCCGCCGGTAATGGCAGCATTTTCGCTATCTCGTAGAACTCGTAGTTCTCCTTTCCCCTTCGACACCTGGCAGCGTCTCTGCTCTTCTCCTTGCGTAGCTCGAGGATGCTGTAACAGAGAAAGAGGCGAAGGTTAGACGAGCAGGTATCTTCCCGTGCCACGGATAAATCTAATTTTTCTTCTTCTTTTTCTTAGCTCGTAGCTTCGATCATGTCCAAAACGTTTCCTTCTTCGCAGCAACGCCGAACGGAAGGGATCGACATTAATTTCGTAACGAGGTACAATTGCAACGAGAAATATTGCTATCGTTCGATAATCGTGACTTAAGCGAATTTAACGTGGAATAAGTTATTCGTAGGAGGAAAGATACTTCTGAAGGTTTCGTTAACTATACTCTGGATGAAAATTCACATAGTGCAGCATTTCAGGGTTAATTAGACATTTAAGAGAATATACCGTCGCTTCAAATATTCGATGGAAACACTGTTTCAGGAGTTATACTTAAATACTAAGCTGTTCTCTAAGTACTTTAATGCCTAATGTATACTGGCGGTTCATAATTATTAAGACACCTATTACACTCGTGCAGAGACTAATTACAGGATTAAATTACACATAAAATTTCAGACTGAGTAATTTTTGCTTTTCGAATTTCAATAATTTCGTAACGATTGAATCTTCGATGTTAACAATTTTCTAACCCATAGTTTATTACTTGGCATTCGGCAAGTGTTCTAATACTCATGATCGGAAGCGTAGGTATACACCTTACGGATTGATCTGAAATTTAAATTTCAATGTAGCGGAATGTTTAACTATCAACAAGAGAAGAACATCTTCTTTTATGGGCGATCAGCGACGCTGAAGGAATCACGAGATCCCGTACAATGTTCCTGAAGATTCGTTGTTTATACAAGTTTACGACAAATCGAAGCGTGTAACCGTTCACGCGTTCAGAATCGAAACAGTCCCCGAGATTCCTATCCGAAATTCAATTATATTTGCTGGTACCTTAAGATATTCGTTTCGCGTAGTCCTTCCGCAAGGACTCTCGCATTTGATATGCCAGCAACGAATTAACCGCTCTGCCGGAATCGCGTTACAGCTATTGACCTAGAGTACGTAGCACCCCAAGGTACCTGTTTCTTTTCAATTCCACGGCGACTTCATAGTAGGTTAATCGATTGCACGCGTACATATACGTTTGAAATTTGAATTTAAATCCGCTGGTAATTAGTACAACGTGTAACACAAGTTTCTCGACCCTGAGTGAAAGAACTCTCTAAAATATATAACTCAGACGCATATGAAATATCAATTTGGTTATCATTTTCAAGAATAATTTTATCCTTCGTAAAATAACCCAAATTTCCTCCACCTAAATAAAATAGAAGACCCAAGAAACAGGTAACAATTCAAAATTCGCCGAAAACTCCCTTAAATACACTACCGGCCAAAAGTTTGGAATCACTGAGCATTGCAATACACACAAAAATTTCCAGAAAAAAGTCAGCGACTTTGAGAATTTTTTATCGTTCGAATCAATTGATATGAGACAAATTGATAAATGTAGAATTGAGATAAACTTCAAATCTATAAAAAATTAGCAGCAGATTTAATATTGATGAAAAGTGGGAGGTGATTCCAAACTGTTGGCCGGTAGTGTATGTAATTTAGAAAGATTTCAAATATTTTTCCATTGGCAAATATCAATTTGGTCACTATTTTTAAGAATAATCTCATCCTTAACAAAATAACCCAAATTTCCTCCACCTAAACAAAATAGAAGACCCAAGAAACAGGTAACAATTCAAAATTCGCCAAAAACTCCCTTAAATATGTAATTTAGAAAGATTTCAAATACTTTTCCATTGGCAAATATCAATTTGGTCACTATTTTTAAGAATAATCTCATCCTCAACAAAATAACCCAAATTTCCTCCACCTAAACAAAATAGAAGACCCAAGAAACAGGTAACAATTCAAAATTCGCCAAAAACTCCCTTAAATATGTAATTTAGAAAGATTTCAAATACTTTTCCACCAACAAATATCAATTTATTCTATTCGGTCGTTATTTTTAGCAAAACCTCATTCCCAACCGAACAACTCAAATTTCCTCTAGCTGCATAAAACAAAAGACAGTGGAAATTCATTTGACCGGCGTTCAAACGAAATACCTAATTATCCTAGTTGGAGAGGTAGGTATGGAGAGTTCGCGGCTAGAAACAAACGGCCATAGGCGTGGCGGCGAGCGTCCACGAGCGTAGAGCAAACGCGCGGCAAAAGCGGCCACCCGCTCAGCCGGCATACATTATTCAAACGCTATCATGCCTGTGTTTGCTGACATGCCAGCCGAATGTATCTGGGTGAATGTCGACGTAACATTAACCACGCCCAGTGGACGGCCCACCGATTCCGGTTTTGCATTTAAACATTAAACGCTGACCAATGGGAACGTAATCCGCATTATTCGAAACCCGTTCCCCCCTCTACGCGTCACGGTCATTAACCTTTTGTTAACCAGGGAGGAATCGTTCCCGACTGGCTCTGTTCCGAGCGAAATTTTCGATTTCGCGCCTACGCCGACGTATTTTAATGCCAGATTCAAAAACAGTCTCCCACCGAATATACCATTCGATTTTGCACAACGCGAAATTACTATTGGAGAGATAAATCGACCTTCGTGTTGTTTTGTTCGGTGCGTTTCAATGGTGGACTTCGCGTGACGATTTTGGTCCAGCGAATTGGTTATTCTTGTCGAGATTACGATGATATTTTTTAGCGAATTCGCATACAGGCTTTGATTCGAACGTTTGCTGTGATTTGTAAAATTTTTGGATCGGTGGTACGGTTTGCACGTTGGAATTTTTGTAACCTTGAAATAATATGTAACGCAATTGTTGGATATTAAATTTTCTTAATTAGTAAATTTTTCTGATTTTCAAGTGTGGGGGAAAGTTCACCTGAAGTGTTGTTAAATTTTGAAGTTAATTTCTTATATTTAATTTGAATAAAGTAATAAATTAGAAGTTTTGGCAATTCGATGGTTTTGGTAGAATAATTAATGGATACGATAGGATGACGTGAACATTTGAGAAAGAAATTACGATTCAATTTGTAGATTTGTTAATGATATCGATTCACGATTAAACGAAGAGAATTGAGTGCAACGAGTTCGTGTCGAAGATTTGGTAATAAAGTGTTGTGGTAGCCGTGAAAGTGGCTAAATTGCAATTTCATAATTTTATGAGCTACTGGAGCGACTAAATGAATTAAACATGGGGCGGTAATCCAATTCGAGCCTTGAATGATCCTTAACAACCACCTTGACACACATAAAACTGAATATTTTCACGTGCACCTCGTCATTAGTTTGTATTGCATAATCGATCGCGTCTATGCGAACTACTGAAATTGGACGAGTAACATATTCATTATATCAACGTTGAAACTTTCTTCATATTTTGTGGCAACTTCAAGTAAATTAAAAAATCATCGAAACCTGCGCGATCCAATTTTCATGAAATAAAGGTAGCAACCCATTCATCCATTAAATACTGTATTACTTTACTTCACTGCGTCTATGAAAAAGTTGAATGCACTAAGAAAATTCGAAATTAGAAAATCATCGAAACCTTTATTATCCAATTCGAGATCAAATTTTCATGAAATAAAGGTAGCAACCAATTTATTCATTAAACACTGCATTACTCTGTTTCATACTTGAACTTCAAACTTTCCCTGTATCCCTAAGAAAACTCAGAGCTATTCATTTCTAAATTAAAAATCCATCAAAATCTTGCATATCGAATTTTTATAAAATAAAGATAGCATCCAATTCATCCATTAAACACTGTATTCAAACTTCCCCTGCATCCCTAAGAAAACTCGAAGCAATTCATCTGTAAATTAAAAACCCACCAATCCAACACTTTCCCAACTCACAAAAGAAGCCCTCCGCCCCAGGAAGAGGCAGCTTAACCCAACAGAAGCGATTAACGAAGGAACTCGACATCGAGGCCGCGAAAAAACGCACGTCAATTAAACGCGCCATTTAGCTGTGGCCGGGGAAGGGTTGCAAACAAGATGGGATTTTTATTAGGCTGCTATCCCGCTTAACGGCTGTAAAACGACGATCCTGTGCCCTCCCCTTTGGTTGATCGCGGGAACGCCATCCGGAACACGACGTTGCCCCATTATGGCCGCTCAAAAGTCGTAAAGAGCGTGGAAAGGAGGGAAAGCCTGGGTCCGCCATTCGGTCACCGTCTTGTTTTCGCATTTTACAAGCGTCCCGCGACTTTCCATCGTCCTCAACAGCCCCACGAAAACGGGGAGAGACGACACTTCACGCTCTCCCTTAGGAACAATCACGGACACCGTGGGCTGCCTTCGTTCTTGGCGAGCACGAATTTGAAAAGACGGTCGCGTGTAAGAAATTTCATTTGCTTCTGATACCACCATCCGCGCGATTCTTTTCTCTCGTTAGAGCAGGCTTCAGGGGTAATTTAAAGTTTCACCATGGGGGAGAGAGGGTTCGAAGTTTCGTTCGGTCTTCGGAGGAATTAACGGGTGTTATTCGTACAGTTTGGAGAACTGGGTTTAAGGAGAGTACGGCGAAACGAGAGTTAAAGAGTGTTAAAGTGTTGTGCAGGGATTTGATCAGGTCGATGTTGATTAATGCCGCGGGACGTGGAATGATTTGTGCGGGATAGCGTGAAATTGTAGGTAGAATTGTCAGAGTATTGTGGAGAACTTAATTGTGCTATACGTTGTTATTAGAGGCAACGAAGTAATTAGCGGTAATTACGGCTCGCGTGTGTGGCGCGTGGATAGAGACGTTGCGAAGTGGCGATGCTGAAAATTGCGAGGTGTGCACGAATACGGTAAATTACAGATTAAACGAGTAGCTCGAACTGCGATGGAAATTTCGAAATTGACGGATAAACGTGCCTTCTTTTACAAGCTTACGACTTTTGTCCTTTGAAGACTTTACAAAACCGCTATTTCTGTTCAACCTTTACCAGAGTTAAAATTTAACGATTCAAGTGAAAAGCTTGCAAATGAAATTACGTTTCACACTAATCGCTCAGAAAAATTCAGCGAAA